GCGTTTTACACACGTTAATTTGATCCTAATTCCTACCCATAATCTTAGTAGGATCTCGCATTCTACACTAATGGAAACCAATGTGTCCCATGTGTGATATTTTTGCATGATAATCATATAAAATTTTAGTTATTTAGTAAAGAAACCTCCAGAATTTTCCTTTTCCTAAAAGATGTCAAGTTCAAATCCTGATAATGAACTTGGCAAAGCTACATGACAATGACCAATAAATGTCAACATCAAGAAGCACAATTAGAGCAGAAATCAAACCCATCTGATAACCAAGAAACAGGCAATGGTCCAATGGTCCAAGAAGAAACTTTCTTCAATAAATCCTTTTCTTTATGCGTCACTTTGTAAAGCTATAATTCTACCATTCTCTAAAGCAAAATGAGCACAAAATCTAATTAACATGATCTTGAACTATGAATCCAATTTTGTCTCGCTAGCATTCATATTTCTAGGGGAAATTTACAAAAATAGCCAATCGGCAAATAGAGTTTCACTTTTTAGTCATTTTCTGACCCAAATTGGCTTTTTAGCCAATCCATAAGGCTTAAGCATATGCACAAGGTTTCTGCGTAAGGATTCCGCCATAGTCTGGTGTATAGTGGAATCGAAACTTTAGGCATATGCGTAAGGATACTTTTTCTTTTTTCCTTTTTTGCCAAAAACCAATTTTTACGCATGTGTGTAAGCCTTCTGCGTAAGGATGGGMTAAAAAGTGAATTTGGGTCGAAAAAATGATTGATAGGCTATTTGAGTAAATTTCCATGTTTCTAGCTTACTRAGGGCTGTTTAGTTGGTTTTCCAATTAAATAAAGTTTTTTGCATGTATTAGTCTGTCTTTAAGGTTTCTGTTTGGGGGTTTTTGTTTGGGGGCTTTTCATAGATGGAAAGAGCTTTTTTACTGGGTGAGACAAGTTTGGAAAAACTTAAAACTCCCCCTAAAAGCTTACTGAAGAAGGCAATCTCTATATCCATTAAGCTGCTAAGAAAGAGACCCTAATTTAGATACTTAAAAGCCAAAATGCATCAAATAACGAACATAAAAAGGGGAAGTATGGTATAATACCAGCCTTAACAAGAGCATCATAGAGTTCCTCTGGTAAAATGCAACCATTATGTTCGACATCAATGGCTTGAAAAATACGATAAAGCTCAAGCTCCTTATCATCCATGTATCTTCTAAACTCCAGATAATCAACCCTCCCATCTCTATTCGCATCGCAAACCCTAATCAATTCCTTCGCATACTTGTAATCCGCCGGAATTTGCAAMGCCGATAACCCTACCTCAATCTGAGCGGAATCCARGTATCCTGCATTTGATGTATCGAAGAAATTAAACAAACCACGAATTCGTGATTCTCGTTCTTCTTTAGTCTCTCCCAATGCTGATAACACGTGGTCCATGGATACCGGTCCCGATTTCTTCACCGGATTACAACATCCAACGGGCCGACGATGATCCGACGACGACGAATGCTCGTTCTCCAGCGACGTCATACAATCACGAATTGTTTATTGGATGAAATACATAGCGGATTCCTGCTGGAAGTGAACAGATCTAGGCATATAGATACGAGTATTTGTGTATCTCTATACCGAGATTGGGTTGAGATATTTCTGAAACGTAGAAAGTAATAATTGAAGGATCTTTTCCCAATAGATTCTAGAACTTGACCCGTTCGATTGAAGGGTTCGGGTCCTTTTTCGGGTCGAATTTGTTAAGCTTTTTAATGGTAATATCAATGGAGGGAGATAGATTGGGATTAGCAGAAATGGAGAAATCGAGAGAGTTTGGGATTCAGCCCCCATGCGTTGACCATGTCCGTAGTCTCGTCAAACAAGCGGTTTTCGGGTGTAATCCGCTTTGTTTTTATAATTTTTGACCGCTTTCAATTTTTTAAAATATGTAATTATTATATTATTTAAATAAGTAAATGACATTTTTACTTTTAATTAGGGTTGCAAATTGGTCAAATTGATCGGGTTAAAGAYATTTGAATAACTTCATACAAGCAAAACAAAAACCCAACCTAACTCAAATCATACGGATTAAGTTGGGTTGATCAGGTTGAAACTTTGATGCATCATTTTACAATCTAGTTAGGTGTTTTATTTAGCCGAAGTAGAATCAAAATGATGACATACAAAAAAGGCTAACGAAAAAAAAAAAAAATTGAAACTTCATGTAAATAAGAAAGTAAAATCACGATTGATATTGTAATATAATTATTAACTAGTTGTGTACTCGCGCAATRTAGCGGGAGCTATAAATTTTAACGATTTTGAAGTTCCACTGGTTTTATAAGATAAGATTTAACGATGATATATGTTACACTTGATCTTTACATATTAATACAATTTGAATAAATAAGAGTTATGGTTCTAATTACAGACTATCGATGAAAAAAATTGTATGACAGTTTAAAAT